GATGGCAGTCCGATCTGGTGGCCAGAACCGGATCTGACCCGGTTCCAAAACCAGGGAAGTCACAGGGAGCAAATCCCCTCTCCTGCCACCAGAACCAACCCCCCCCGGCCCCATCAGACCATCACAGATACACTTAGTACCTCAGACAGTTCTGGAGCATAGGGGTTTTTTTTTGTCCTGGATTTATCAGTTCATGTGACATACCTTACTGAATTACCACAGTAAATTATTCTGGTCTTAAAACAACCTACCAACTCATATGGTCACTTTCTGTCCTGGATTCAGAAATAAATGGTTAGAAAACTATTAATTTTCCTTACTGTCACTTTCAAAAGGATTTTAAGTAACATGGTGTTTTCCCGGACTTCTCTGACACTGCAAAACCACTTTCTGTATAATAATACAAGTAGTAATAAATGGACAATGGCTGGAAGTCAAGGTGCTGTTACACTTTCATAGATCAAAGACTTACCAGAACCAATCATTATTCTAGCAACTCGTAAAAAAACCCAAAACATCTAAACTGTGGTCTCTTAGACATTTTCTCTTTGGTATTTTCCCCATGATTTCCTTTGCGAAAGTTCTGCACAGTCTGCGTGTCCTTGGCTCCCACTCTAGTTAAGACCAGTTTGATTTCAACAATCCAATAATGTTTTTTCAAAATGTTACCTTTCTTGGCTGGACATTTCCCTTAGCTGTTGTTCTGTTTGTTTTCATTTGGGAGGGGGGGAACAAATCTTTAAAGGATCTCTTGGGTTTTTGAATTTTTCTATTTTTTTTTAATTCCTGTGGTTACTGTAGGCTCTAGAGAGCATTTGCGTGTTTCTTCAGTTGCAATGCCTATTTTTCAAATAGAAGGTCAGAAACAGCTTTGCAGCAGTACCCCTGGAAGCAAGATCTTTAATGAGGGAATACTAGCTCATAGCACAAGGCAGATATACATGCTTAAGAATGGAGTGAGGGAATGCTGGGGTTTTTTATTCCATGTACAAATTGAAAAGTCTTCTCTTCTTCTCAACTTCTCTATTTGTGCCTCCCTTAATTCTCTATCCTGGCTAAGAAATCGGGTTTTATTATGAAGGAAATGTGAAGAATAGCTTTAGTAGTATTGTATGGAATGCTGTTTCCAGACTCTTAAAAAACGCTCGTGACTGTATCTCAAAAATGAGATGTATGTACGGGCATTAGTTAAGGCTTCTGTTGTCGTCAGATTAAATGCCGTTGTGTGAGAACTGGAATTTGACACAGGACATGTCTTGCTTGTCAGAACTGCTTAACTCCTGTTGTGAACATTACTCTTAATGAAAGGCTGCACTTCTGAATAAAAAATGCTTTCTCTCATGGTCGACGATCTTCATTCATCTGATGTGTTCTGCTATGGAACAAAATGTATTTAGGGCTGGCTCCTTTCAAAATAAAAACTATCAACTGTGCAAAGCACAAGGATTTTACTGAAGAAAGTTTGAGTACATGGACTTCGTTTTGTGATCTAAACTGAGTAGAAAATACAGAGGTAGGCCAAGAACTGATGTGTGTGGGGTTGTTTTTTTTGTAGCTATCTATTTTGTTATATGGCTTTGGGCAACCTGGTGTAGTTGAGGGTTTCCCTGCCCATGGCAGGGGGGTTGGAACTAGATGATCTTTGAGGTCCCTTCCAACCCAAACCATTCTATGATTCTATGAAAGTAACTGAAAGTCATTGTTAGTTGTTCATTAATTACCAAAGGTTATCTGATTTTTGTTACTTAGCTCACCTGGAGAACCACTCTCTCATGGAACTCTTGCTGAATTACTGTTGAAGTACTCACATGATTGGCAGTTAGTAGTGAAGTCTTAGTGGCAAAAACCTGAGCATTAACAGTGAGTTGGGATAAATCTGGATATGCATTATCTATATTTTTTATTCCCTTTGTCAGGAAAACACAGTTCTAGATACTTTCTTGATATTTCCCCTTATTCTTTGTTTTAAGAAGTTACAATAGGTAAGTTCAAGAATTGTAGTATGTTTGGTTTTGATTTTGCTGTTGTGGTGACTTTGTCTTCGCTTTGGGGTTAGCTCACCCGTAGAGGGTGCTAAAGCACTGTTGCGTGAGAGTTTAGCAGGTCAGAAAATTGGCTTGCCAGAGGTGCTGTTACAGCAATGCTCTTGGTCATGGCTCTCTGGACTTTCAAAACTTATATATGTGCAGGGCTGTGCGTCCTGTGATCAGTCTCATTTAATTCAGAGGAGCTACTGAGTTCACAATTAAGTGTGTGCTTAACTCTTTGTAGGATGAAGAGCTAGTCAGGGTCTTAGTTAAGATTTTTGAAAGATAAGAGAATGGAGCTTGGTATGCTGAATGCATAAAAGAATATTTTATTGAAAATCTTGCCAGTGTCTGCTTGTGAGAAAATTGCAGGAAGGCCTTTTTAGAGTAACTGTGGAAGTTTTGTGTATATATATTCCTTATATTGCTGGAGGCTGTATCTTCTAATGAATTTAAAGGAGTCAAAGCTGTAAGACAGACAACAATATTTGGAGGAAGCAGCTTCTTTGTGTAACTCTTTTAATCCAGAATACACTAAAATATAAACCTTCAATTAAGCTTTTTTTTCCTCCCTTTCCATTCTTCTTAATTTGATAGCAAAGGTAGAGAGTTCATCTTGTTCTTTCCTCTTTCAGCCCTTCTACAGATATGTCATTTTTTCACTTTACTGCTTATTCTCCACAATGACCTCAGACAGGTGAGAGACGGAAGAGATGTTAAGGGTCAATGTGGTATAAACTCATGACTCTTAAATATTGGAAAGTGTGTAGACTTTTCTGTCAGACCAGCTAGTCCTACCATTATCAAACTTTTTAATTAAAATTGCTGTTTTGAAGGATTCCACAGAGCAGCTGTAGGCCACTTGTACTGTTGCAAAACCAGCAGTGTTTTGTGGACACAGCTTGGAGACCACTGTTCTGGATATTGAATGTGTAAATTCCAGACTTGATTCTATCAGAAATTGTCAGTTATTTATACCTGCTTGTATAACTTCTCTGAATCAGCAATAATGAATGTTAATTGTGGGAGTCGCACAGCTTATTTTTCTAATTTAAATGCAGGTATCTGAACTGTTGCGGGTAGAATTAAATGCACAGCTTTTATGTTCATTTATATCTCTTTTTTTTTTTTAAGGCATTACCCAATTGGTTTGCTGTTTGATCTCCATGCATCAAATACAGCCCTTCCTTGGAGCATCACGGTTCATTTCAAGGTAAAATTGAAATACACCTTTGATTAAAATAATCAAGCATAGGATTTCATGAAATTTGGAAGCTAGGAAAAAGTTTCATAATTATTTTATAGATAAATGGATGGTGTGACTTTTTGAAGGGGAGAATGTTTATTCTTCAGGGATCATCTAAAGTTTTCGATAAATCTGCAGTGGTTTTCCATGAGATTGTATGTGCTTTCATATTACCTTCCTTTGAAAATGATTCTATTATAATCTGAAAATCTAAAATTGTTTTTCAAGATAAGTTATCGCACTATGTCAGTGTAGTCGAATGGATATAAGGGAAGAACTTTCTATAATGGTCTAAATTCAGTTAGCTTGAGTTGACTGAAGATTGAGAAATGCTCGTCCTTTGGGCCTATGAGCATGGATATAAGATACTGTAGAAATCCTTGAAGTCGGGGAATGCTGTTGTACTTCATGTGGATCCCCTTTAGAGAACTAAGTGAAATAAGTTTGGTCTTGTGACAGTTTTGTCACAAGTTATTTTGGTTACACATAGTAAAACCATTTGATATGACTTCATAGCACTACTGATCTTTGCTCAGAAGAGTACTTGCTCAGGGTTAGCTTTGGTGCAGGGTTCTTTCATACTTCGAAACATTTTGAGAAGGTAATCCCAGCTATGTTTTGAAGTCAAAATCACAAGTAGAAATCATGCTATTTAACTTGGAAACTTTAATTTCCTCATTTAAAAGAAACAATGCAATAGGAAAATTGATTCAAAGGAACACTCTAGCTTAATAGGCTTGATCTTAGTGTGTGAGATTTGAGTTGAAATGAAAAGCATACTGAGAAGCAGGTGAATGTTTTCATTCAAACAGTTCTTCTCTTGAAGATATTTTAGAAAAAGTCTTGCTAACAGGAGCAATCTGATTCTTTTTGGAGGTGTGCACCAAACACATCATAAAAACATATGATTGTTTCCATGTATTGAAACTTTTTAAGTGGCTGACTGAATGAATCTTGAAGATGGGGAGGTTTTTGAAACCATTATGATTGCTACACTTCTGTATGTATGTTAGAGAGAGATGGGATGAAGAAACTTTCAAAGTGTTTTGAAGAAACTGTCAGGCGTCTAGTTTCACAAATCATGATTTAATTGTTATACATTCTGAGAGCTCTGGAAGATTAACAGTGGCAGTGTGTGGATGTTGTCATCCCAAAGTACAGCCATCTTGAGAAATAAATTGCAGCACCACTGTGCTTTTCAGTTTCATGTAGTAATGTAAACTGACTTTAATGTCCTTATATTACTACTCACCAAAAAGTCAGCTTATTTAAGTTTGTCTCAAAGGTGTACATTAAAGATCAGAAGAAATAACTTACTGCTAAGGCAGTATTATTTTAAAAGCTGATGTAATTTAGTTTTCAAAAGTACAACACCTTGGATTAATAACAACACCTGCTTAATCTCTCTTCCTGTTTTTGCTGTAATCTGAAAGTTTATTTAAATAAACACCTCAGTCCTTAAAATGAAAATGTAACTGAAAAATATCAAAGTATGTCAGAATATTGAAGACACTTTGATGTGTTACAATTTCTTACAGCTAAATAGTTTAGGTGTGGGATTCCTGCCTGGATTATTCTTTTCATTTGTGTGTAGTTGTTCTTCAAATAGCCGTAATTTTTATTTGGCTTAATTGAACAGTATTAGATTTTTCTGGGGTTGGACTTTTGCTGTCATGGTGTTCTCCTTTCTTTTACCAAAGCATGTAGTCAACAACAGATATTTCAAGAACATCTGTAAAGAGTGTTTTTGAACTTCCCCTCCATCAATCTTCTTTGTTTAAAGTTAAAAACATGTAAAAAGATTTTCTGTTCAACAGAATATTGAAAGTTGACCAAAACTTGTAATTGTCCTCCTGTGTTACGTATGCAGATGAAATAATAAACACTCTTACTGTTTGCATTGAAGAAACAGTTTATTAATTTGTACTTCTGATATGCAAGGAAATAACATGCATTTATATCTCTAGTAAAGTTGAAATACAGTTTCCTTAAATAGTCATAGGAGGATGAGCTTAAGCAGAGTACTAAGGTCTGAGAATCATGAGGAGCTATAGTCTGGAAAGTTGCTTTTGTTACTCAGGTGTGGCTTTATGGGGAGGAGGGAAGTGATATCCCTTCCTAATAATCTCATCTCATGCTACTCTGCGGCATTCTTAGTGCTGTTCATGTTCTCAGCGTGGTAACCAACTCTCCAGATTTTGGGCATTAGACAGGAGGTGGTGAACTGCTCTGGAAATGGTAGCAGGAGAGGAAATTGAGTGTGCCAGGGGAAAGGCTAATGTTCTTCCTGTGCTGAAGCCCTTACCTGCTGGTGCCTGCCTCTCAACCCATGACCTGATGTAGAGAAGGAGAGACTGCATCTGTTCTTGTGTAACAACAGCTGTTGTCTTGGTTTTCTCAGCTCAAAATTGGGTCAGGTGGAGTGAAAAGAGGAAGTACTTTTCCGTGTAGTATATGGATAAATTGTGGAACTGCTAGGAGACGTTGTGGAAGCCAGAGGTATAAATGAGCATTTTTTCAAATTAATTTTTTTTGAAAAAAAAAAAAGACTGCTGATGGTAACTAAACACAAATATATGAATGCTACCTCTGGCACTCTGTATGTTCCTTATGGTTTTTAATGCCCTGTTATTGGTGTAATTTTCTGTAAATGTAGCCTATTGCAACTAGACTGTTACAGTATGAACAGATATTTTGTGAACTAGAACTGATAGATAAATATGGGTGGAATAGCGTTATGAACCAGACTGTTGAAATTACCTGCGATGGTTTTGGAACAGTTTTATGTAAGAAGTTATTTAGTGTGCCTGTGTGTACAGATGATACATACTACTTTATGACCAAATTTACGCTGCAAGTGTTTACTGATGTGAAAAACAAAATCAGTACTACTTGAGCTTTCTAAGAAAATCAAAGTCAACCCTTAATAACTTTTATTTCAAAGATACATTACATGGAGGGAGTAAGACATCACCAATAAGAATACTTAAATTAAAGGTGCTTACGGGATCTATTAAAACTTTCAGCAAATCTCATAGCTGGGGTGGCTACCAACTTGTTTACAGTTGTCTCTTCAAGGAACTGAATAAAGTTATTTACATTTGTTCATTATTTCTTCAAACAGAAAGAAGGCAAGTAGAATTAAAAAAAAATAAATACATTACAAGCATATATATTCTATATCTGAGTATAAAACTTATTCTGTGCCCTAGTTTATAAATCAGTGGGGATGCCATATGTTCTGTTGGTAGTCTCATGTAGGTGTAACTGTTTCACATACCTCTTGTAGATGCAGCAGTGTTGTTTTCTAAGTTATCGCTTTCATGTTCAGGTTATTCCGCTTCTACTCACAGTACTGCATAGAAATGTGTCAGTGTTCTTCTTCTAAAGAAAAGAGTCGACAGCACTGAGATTGCAGGAGTGTGTTCCAGTCTTCCAGTGTTATCTGTTAGAAGCTGGGAAGATAAATCATGCCACACCTTTGCACTACTGTGGCTAGATTTTTTTCCACTAGCTTATCTAGCTTTGACCAGTTTTAAATATCTCCTTGCTCTTCTGCAGATCCCACTGTGTGTGTTCTCTGGAATACATCCTCAGGGAGTGACATTCCTTGTAATTTGAAATTCATTGGAAGAAGTCAGCAGGGAGATGCCTACCTGTAGAAAGACAGAAATGTCAAAAAATAACCCTGCAGTTCAATATATTTTGACATAAGTGTAACAAAATAGTTGTTGTAACAAAACTGTTGTTTTCATAAATTTAGCTAAAACTTCAGGTTTTAACTGTGAAAGTCAGTTTCTAGGTTCCTATATTACTTGGCATTAGATACATTCCACTGTTTCATCTTTTTTTGAGAGATGCCGCTGTCTCACTTGGAATTCTGGCATGTGAAGAACTTTTTTGACCTTGAAGTGTGCTGTTTCTGACTTTGTTCTAGATTGATTACCAAACTTTACTTTTTTTGTTTGAGCTAGTAAGTTAAACTTCTAACAGTATTTTACAGGCCTATACAGATGTCAGCTGGCGAGTAACAATCCCAGTAATGTGTTCCATTCATCTTGGGCCCAATTACACTGAGACATTCAACTTTGTAGGGGAGAAAGGGAGCGAGGTCTGCCCTGGAAGGAGAGCTGTCCTTTCTGTTCTGTCCTCTAATGTCTTTATACCTGGCCATCTTCATACGAGAAACAAGCTTTATCTCTGTCCTTAGATTTCTAGTCAGCTCTGCTTACATCAGTCCTAAGTAACAATAGCACACTCTTTGCGACCTTTATACTTCAGTGGAAAAGATATTGGCAGTCTTTTCTTCCCTTTATACTCCCGTTCTTGGAAGATACTCATGCTTTTGATCCACAGTTTCCAGAATCTGGGTTCACTGTCATAAGGAGGAATCACGATATGAAATTCTATTATTTAATTTCCAGCTCTTTTCAGTAACCTAATGAGGAGGGAACTATCATTCTTATCCTCAGAATTTCCTTCAGGTAAGGCAATCCCCAGCTCCCTTTCATATTGCCAAATATTAGTGGTTCTTGGATATTTTGAGTTCCTGTAGCTTGAAGCAGTTTTCACTATTTTTCCTGGTTTTATGTGGAGGAGGGAAGGTATGTTTTTTTCCAGCATTATATTGCTCCTACTGTGATGTGTTAACTATGTTGTAAAAGCCTTTGAAAAATATCCTGTTGTATGTACTTGTATTTCCAAAATGGTTTTGACAGTCCGTCGCAAAAGCTTTTTTAAATAGCCAATTTGTAATGATTAAGAGGAAAGGTCCTCTTGCGGAAAAACAGATGAGTGTTCAAGTATAAAAACATGTGGCAAGCTCTTGTTATGAAGGGGAGTACTAACGATGCCACTCTGGTTTGGCTCCTGGGGTTTGCACTGTTCAGCATGGTCGTAAGCAACTGTGAAAAGAAGATAAATAAGGAGGGGATAAAACATGCTGAGTTTTTAAACCTTTGAAAACTGAAGACAGTGAAGTTGTGATTCTGTATGCTTGTATTATTGTAAAATTGCAAGTGATACTAAGTGTTGATACAAGAAAAATTAAGAGGAAGAACAACCCTAACTATATACCTACAGAACTTCTGATTAGTTAATTTCCAGAGAAATCTTTTTTTTGTACCTGAATGAGATTTACTACTATAATTCCTTAATAAATGTATTAGGAAAGGTAGCTGTCATTGACTGAGGGGATAAAAGTTACCAAAGGAGTGGTAACTGTGAGTCTGCAATGCTGAATGCAGTGCACCAACTCCAACCAAATAAAAGCCGTATAGAATCAAGTCACGCAGGCTAGCAATAGGCATGTATATTACCTAAAGTTGGAGCTGACAAGGTTTTCCAGTATCTCTAAGGAAAATGTTGGTAAGTGGCATGTATGCTATAGTTCATGTATGTGGATGATGATACTTGAAGGAAACATTTTTCAAAGACCTGCATAGAAATGGGTGCTAAACGGCCATTGGGGATCAATAGGTGTTGAGTGCTTGTCACTTACTTCTCCCCCTTTTCTCCTGTTTGTTGCCAGAGAATTGAACATCTCCTTGAAAACATGTTAAAACTCTTCATTTCTTGAATTTCAGATATAAGGGCCTAAATACATCCTCTGATCTGTTTAGATGGATTTATCGAGTTGAGATTGGGTGATTTTAGAGTAATTTCTGGTTTTACAGAAAATTGTTCAGTTTCTATTTTTCCTGGCATGTTTTTCACTGTAAAACCTTTCTTGTCAGCAGAGTGAGAGAATGGTTGTTACCTTTTTCCATAAGTAGAAGATTCCAGCGTGCTTCTTTTGTATAAACATAAACCTGATTACAATTCCCATTTATTCTTCATCTTCTAAGGTGCGTGATGCATTTATTTCTCTTTTCTCTTTGTAGAATTTTCCAGAAAAGGATCTGCTACACTGCCATTCTAAGGATGTTATTGAAGCTCATTTTATGGCTTGTATAAAAGAAGCAGATGCTTTAAAGCACAAAAGTCAAGTCATCAATGAGATGCAAAAAAAGGATCATAAGCAACTGTGGATGGGATTACAGAATGGTAAATACAATGCATCAAGTATTAATTATGTTTAGGTCTAGCATGCTAATAAATTCTTCAAGTTTTAGTTGTGGTACAGGATGTAAAATGTCATTGTTCTGCAGAATTCTAGTCTAATGTCACAGAAAAGATCTTTTTATTTTTTTAAAAAAAGTTACCATTTATGTGATAATCCAAATGTGACTTCAGTTATTCAAGGAAATAAATTGGGTCATGATTCTGTTTTAACAAACCAAAAATAGCAACAAAACAAAATAAATAGATAATATTGTCTGGTGTACTTTTGTGCAACTGATGGTCTTTATTTGGGAGACAGCTGGGGTGTAAGTGTTGTCCAGTATTAACTGTCTTGGACTGTAAAGTAAAAAAGGTTGTCTCCTCTAGTTTATGCTCAAGGATTGTCACTGATAAACAATACAGGTAAATATTAAAAAAAAGTTGCCTAGGAGATGAATAATATTACTTTTCCCTGTGCCAGATTTCATTTTTTTTGTTGCTGATACTATCGTGGCTTTCACAAAGATTTCTGCATAGATAATTATTGACTTGAAAAAGTCAGCAAAGTAATTCAGAACAGGATGTTCTAAAATAAGTAGTGTTCTTTGCACAGATGGCATGAATCTATATTGCAGCGCAAAATATAACATTTTGGTTTTAGTGTCTCCTCTTTCTTATCATGGTTCTTAGAGGCCTGTAAGTTGAAAAGCTTTGTAAGCACTTCAGAAACTGCTGTCTGGAATGGGTGGTGATACAATGCATTTTCTTCAACTCTTGAAGCTGTCATTGTATTATTATTATTACTAGTAAGTTTATTTTACAGAAGCTGTAAGAATGAAGATATTTATTCTATGTTAAGATACAAAATACTAAACATTTAGAATTAACATCTTCCTGTATGTTTATAAGGAAAATTAAATGAAACAGGAGAAGCTTTGAATGCAAGAAGACTTGAGGCATGTGTTTGCTTTAGACAGTGAAGTTCCAAATTAGTCTGGGTTTGCTGTGTGTGTTTAGTTAGTGTGTGAGGTTTCTATTTTTTTTGTTGTTTAGCCGTACTACCTTTCATATTAAAAGTATTCTTGTAATAATTTTGAAGGTTGAGTGCTTATTAGAAACTCTGGGTTTTATTTTTTTATATAATTGGGAGAGAATTAGAAATGGAAGTATTATCTTTAATTTCCCATTTGAGTGATAAGATCTTCAGGAATGCAGTATGTACCTGCAAAATTTATCAAGTAAGAAATTGCACTTTATCAGGTTCAATTCAAAATACTTCTTGAGAGATTCTGTTTTGTATAGATATTAGCCTGCAAACTGACTGATAATATATCTACTTTTGTGAATTAGCAGTAAATAAAGAGTTCTGGTCCACTGGAAGCCAGAATTGGTATAAAACCAGATGTTTCCCTAAAGCTTACATTGTTACAAATAAATTTAAACTGCAATTTTAATAATTCTATGAAAAAAAGTATTCTACTCTAATAGTATTTGGCTTGCAAGCAGTTTAGTTCAAGAGAAGCAAAATGCTATGCCAGCATAATTTTGTTTTCTATTTCAAGAATTATTAGCTTTATGGCAAAAAGAAATCCTATCACCTAGTCCCAGTGCTCAAGTGTTCCCAGCAGTGCGTTTCATGTGCTCTTTTTATTAATGCTTTTTAAAATTAAAACTAAAAGACCTCTAATAAGTTGTTACATGAATACAATGAGTTATAATAATGGCAGAAGAGTTGGCAATGGAATGTAATGGTATGAGTTAAGGTTCTTTTCTTAACCAGAAGTTGTAGAACCTCGATACCCTCAATATGTAAGGTAAGAGAACAGATACATAGCGTTTTCTTTCTGTGCTCATCTTAGGCTCTTTAGTTGATTATTTGTCTAAGAGTGTCTTTAGTTGTAGGGGAAACCAGAATTTTACTGTTTTGCTTTATAATGTTGAGAGCAGAAGTTGCCTGGCAAGGTTGATTTCAAAAAGGTTTCGCTGTACTTAATGAGAAATCACACCTGTGGAATCTTGACAGCTAAATGAGAAGTTTAAACAATCTTTTGAATACTTTCAAATGCTAATTTTAATTTCTCAGCTCTTCATAAAAGAGAAACAAGAAAAGCTTGTGAAACCAAGAAAACTCTTTTTAAGCATGTTGTATCTTTCAGTATGTTTTTTATAGGCTTTCGTTTGAGATGTAATAATTTTAAATCTCTTTGTGAAACAGAATGAATGACCACAAAAAAGAAAAGAAAGTAGCATTTGTGATAACTGCCTTGTAAGTAATGATGCATCTGCAGTCTTTTTTTTCTGTGAAACTTCAAACAATTTTCTTCAGTTCTTAAATATAGGAAGTGATATAAGTGACAGCAATACTTACAGGATATGTATTAAACTTGCATTTTTTGAAAAAATAAAAAAAAAACCAATCCATTTTGCTTGTTTGGAGAAATGTAACTCCCAATTACAAGTGTAATTTGGTATAAATGTTTCTGTTAAGAAGGAAGTACTTGAACAGTTAGCATGAGAAACTTTTCAGTTTTAGGGGAAGAGCTGTAATAGTGAATTTGTGACAAAATCTTGTGCTGGTAACAGCTGGTAGGTATTCATAACCACTTTTATATCTCTCCTCCCACTGTTTCTGGTTTTGTGTTGATCTGCTACCAAATCAGAAAGGTAAACACTTAGATTCTGTCTATTGCTTGTGCTGTGGTTTTGCTTGTTCTTCAGACTTCAGTTAGCCAATTTTTGTCCATAAACCAGGTATTTCTTGGCTAGAACACTACTTTGGGACAGATACGACTGTGTTGTTGTAATTTTGACCAGCATCATGGATGTCTGACTGTGGTAGGGAAGTGATAAAGGCAGGCTATATAGCTATAGTGACCTCTATTACTTTGGAAGAATTGTTAAAATTCTTTGGTCAGAATTGATAGAAGACATTACTACTGTTCTTGCTTTAATAGTGTTATGGCCATTTTTATCATGGATAAAGAGGATTTTCAAGTGGGTGGTGTTTTTTTTTCCTTGCCTTTTGTGTGGGAAAAATAAAGACTTTTAGCTTTGAAACATTAAGACTGTGAGCCTAGTGATGACTCAGGATCAAATGAAATCTCAACTGTTTTTAGGGGAGAGCTATATTTTTTCCATGGTTCAAAGAATTAATATCTATAACTTCAGTATATAATGATTCTGATAAAGGAGGGGTTTTAGGTTCAACACAGCTGCTTTTCATCAGTGGTGGAGAGGTATAAGCAACCATACCCTGAAATTTTCACAGGCATCCTTTAAAACCACTGAAGACGAGGCTTGGTATTTCTGATACTTGAGAGGGAGAAATAAACAGTAAAAACTCATGACTATTTTTTAAGGCTTCTTTATATATTATAAAATACAATGAAGTCATTATTTTACTGAAAATATTATGGAAGAAGAATGTAATGCACATTCATACTGTAGAGCTTACCAGAAGTTCAGTGACCATATTGAAGTGTTCTTATTAAAGGAGAAAAATCATGCGAACATTCAGAATACGCAATATTTTCTCTCTTAATGCATGTGAGCCCCTTCTTGTCTTATGGACAGATTCAGGTTTGTGTTTTCTTGCATTTCTTTCTAAATCATATCTAAACTAGTCCTGGGTTTTTGAGGGCAGAAGTTGTGTTTGTTCTGGGTTATCACGTTCCTGTTTAGAAATGTTTGAACTGCTAAAAAGAAACAGTGTCATACATTATCAGCATCCCTTTTGTGCTGTGTACGCGTGGCCCACTCAGGCTTGATATGTACGTTTCTCATCTTTGTAGGGAATTGGTGGGAGCATTGCTGTTCTTTCCCTCAGCCTGAGATGATGAGCATGCTTTGGTAGCTGAACAAATCTCTCATCTCAACTCATCATTTGAAACTCAAATTAGGCAATATGTACTTAGAAAGTCTTAAGGAGTTTAACAGGAGAATGAATGAACAAACCTTTATTGGCTTTTAAATCACAAAATTTCTTCTTCCCTGTATCGCTGCCAGAATGGTAATATTGTTCCATCTTCTATCTGTAGAGGTTTGGTTAACTGTGAAGAAAGACTAAACAGTTCTTCTGGGCTTTAAAAATGAGTGTATTGCTTGGGCTGGTGGTTAAAAATTTCTGGAAATGCATGAAGTTTTCTTGTAATTAGTGTCAATACCTGCTTATTCTGGAGTTAAGATAGCATGGCATACACCAAACAGTGGAGTTGCTGATACTATGGAACCCAGGGGATGTGGTGTAGATAGATTCAAATAGGTCTGCACAAAGTCAGCACGGTTTTGGTGCTGACTTGGGGCTCAATTCAGACATGCTGAACCTGCAGAATGAATCAGATGCATCACAGCAGGCCTTCTCGGATGGTTGGGTGGGGGTTTTTTTGGTGGTGGTGGTTTTTGTTTGGGGTTTGATTGGTTGTGTTGTGTTTTTTTTTCTGGTAATGGGTTGTGACCTAGACTTCAGTGTCAGTTCTGCAGTGTTTACTGGCTTGTTACCCTTTCTGCACAAATGACTAAACTAATGCTTCACCCATATGGGTGCAGCATCATGATTCTAAACTGTCATCCCCCCCGAAACTGGCTTTTGTCTTGTTACTCTTCTTTGCTGGCCTGGTGCCTCCTTGCACAGCTGCCCTTTGTCACAGTGCCAAGGTGGGGAATTGATGGCAGCCTGAATTCCCCCCTTGGCTTTCTCTGCACCGCTCTCAACAAGAGGGCAGAGCTGCTGTTTTAGCAATGCCAGTGGGAATCGGTGGGCTCAAGGGAGAGCTTGAACTGTGCAAAGGCAGAAAAGGGAGGAGATCAAACAGCAGCCCAGCACTTGCAATGCTCCTTTGTATTGAAGTCTCCACAGTGAGAGGAGGTTGTCTAGAGACAGGTAGACAGAGATAGAGATGCGTTCTAGTGTTTTCACCTTCTTGTGTTAGATGTCTGTGTGTCTAATGAAAACTGTTAAATCTCTGAGGGAGCAAGCTTGGAGGTCTCTGCATCTTTGGCACAGG